CTAGATTCATCAGAAGGGCAAGTAGTGGGGAATGGATGGGGGTGCCAGCAACACAGCAGATGGTAGCCGGGATATCAGAGTATAAGGGCTCTAGTGGGGGGAGGGAGGCTATGGGAGTGTGCTATCTGGGAAGTGGGTGTTAAAAAAATAATAAAAAGATAGCCATTTATATTATACTCCATAAAAGATCATTGAGGCTGAGCGTGGTGGTGCATGCCTTTAATCCTAGCGCTCGGGAGGCAGAGGCAGGTGGATCTCTGTGAGTTCAAGGCCAGCCTGGTCTACATAATGAGTTCCAGGACAGCTGGGGCTACAGGGATACCTGTCTCAAAAAGACCAAAAAAAAAAAAAAAAGATAATTGATAATTTAAAAAATACTTTAGTATTTTTTATTTTATGTGTATGAATATTGCCTGCATGTTCTAAGTGGACCCGTCTTGTGCAATTCCCTCACAGGTCAGAAGAGGGTGCAGGAGCCCCCCAGAACTGGAGTTGCAGAGGATTCTTAACTACCATGTGGGTGCTGGGAATCAAACCCGAGTCCTCTGCAAGAGCAGCCAGTGCTCTTAACCTCTGGACCATCTCTCCAGCTGCCAACAATTTTTTTTTTTTTTTTTTTTTAGAGACTGTATCTTACTGTGTTGGCCAGGCCGGCCACACACTGCTGGGTTTCGGAATTCCTTTGTAATCAAGCTTTCTTTCTCTCATCTTCCTCTTCATCTTTCCTGCCCTTTCGCCTCCCTTCCCTTCCCCCTCTGCCCTTTCCCTCCCATCCCTCCTTCTGTCCCTCCCCTTCTTCCTTTTCCGTTTCTTTCCTTCGGTCCTCTCCTTTTCTCTTTCTGTGCTGGAGGTTAAATCCAGCGCCTTGCACATTCTAGGACCACTCAACACTGAATTACCCCTAGTCCCCTGTTACACACGCACGCACATGCACACACACATACTCGCATATTCATTTTTTGTTTTGGGGACAGGGTCTCACTATGTTAGCTCAGGCTGGCCTGGAAGTTACTGTGCAACTCTGGTTGACTTTTGAACTCTTGATCCTCCTACCTCAGCCTCCTGGCTTCTAGGATTACAAGAGTGTGTTACCAAACAGTATTTCTTAAATAACAGATATTCACCATGCATGTTTATGGATTTATACATACAGTGTGCACTGATCATATTCAGGCATCCTGCTTCCCCTCACCTTTTGTACCTTTCTTATTCCTTAATAATGTAATTTAAAAATTTATTTGTAGGGGCTGGAGAGATGGCTCAGTGGTTAAGAACACTGGTTGTTCTTATAGAAGACCTGGGTTTGAATCCCAGTACCCACATGTCAGCTAACAACAGTTCATAACTCCAGTCCCAGGGGATCCGACAGCTCTTCTGACTTCTGGGCATTGCACGGCATGGGGGCACTTACCTACATGCAGACAATATGTGCATACACATAAAATAAAAATAATAAATAAAATAAAAAATTGATTTCTAGGTATTGAAAATAGAATAAAAAGATAAAGGATGAAGTTTAATGAATGTTCAGAAAATAATTCTCACTTATTTTCCATTCGGAATAATTGCTTTATTATTAAACAAGACCTCATATGTTATATTATTTTAGGTTAAATTTTAAGATCATTAGCTTATCACAACAGTAAAATTTACCCATGTAAACTTTGAATTTATAACTACCAATGAAATTTTGAAGTAACGAGATACTAGGAGTGGTGATGACTGTTTGATTGTCAACTTGATTGGATTAAGAAATGCTGGAGGCATTTTTGGGTGTGTCTCTGAGTGCTTTCCAGAGATGATTACCTGGGGGAGTGTGTGAAGAGTCCCACACTGAATGGGGTTGATATTCCATGAACTGGTAAATACAAAATATAAAAATAAAAAGGGGAAAACAGAGCGCTAGCCTTCCCCCGACCTCATCGTCCCCCTTCCCAGTGTGCTCAGATGGGAGCACACTGCTTCACGTTACTGCCAGACAGGGTCCTGAACTGCTTGCTCTGTCATGATAGACTGAATTCTCAGACTGAGCGACAGTAAATCCTTTTTCTCTTAAGTTGCTTCTTGTCTGGTATTTGGTCACAGCAATAAGGCAAGTAACTAACAGGGGGCTTTGTTATTGTCATGAATATTTAATTTAAAAATGTAGAATTTATATAGCTAAATAAAAGGTATAATATGCTTTAAAGTGCTTGGCTTGAATTTTCCTATTACTGTTCTTACTCAATATAGATTTTGAAGGCCTCTAAAAGTTTTCTTCAATGTAAGTTAATACTTGTAGTAAGAGAAATAGTTTCATTACAGTTCTATAATTGGGATTTTGGCCAAAAGTATAACTCAACTTCAATTTTTCTTAAAATTGAAGATTTCCTATTGTTGGGGACATTATAGAGAGTGCGCTAGTGGTTTCAGAAGAAGTGGCTTAAAAATGATGTGAGCCCCAGCAGCTATGATAACATATCAGATTATGATCTAGCTGGCTGCTTTGTAGCAGACAGTAGTAAATGGAGGAATGTTTTATTAAACTACTGTCTTCAATTTATAGTTATCACTTGTTAGTTCAGTGCAAGGACTACAGAGTGACGCCCTACCCCAAAAACCTAAGCAAGCAAGCAAAAGAATTGTCAGGGTCAGACAAAAATTGAAGCTCTAATTTTTCAAGGGAGTTTTATACACTCAAGTGTTTATCACATCTTTCATTATACATGCAATGTAAATAGTTTTTTGCTTTGTTTCAGCTTTTAACTGCTTTTGAGAATGCACTGAATTTATCAGAGAAGATTCCTAGTGAAGATCACGAAGTGCTTTATAGGCATTTTATTCAGTGCTTGTCCAAAGTAAGTAACGCTTGCGTATTTCTTTTTTTTTTTAAAAATACTTTATTATTTTTATTTTAGTGCATGAGTATATTACCTGCATGTGTGTAAGTGCACCCCTGTCATGCAATACCCTTGGAGTTAGAAGAGGGTGTTGGATTCCCCTGGAACTGGAGTTATAGATGATTGTTAGCCACCATGTAGATACTGGGAATCGACCCAGGGTCCTCTGCAAGAGCAACTGGTGCTCTTAACCACTGAGCCATCTCTCCAGCCCCTACGTTTACATATTTCTAATTGTGAAAATGTTCATGAGAGTATTTTACTACTATTGGAATTTATTTTATTATGCTTTCATATTTTCAAGTTTCCTCATGAGACTGCCAGGTTGAAGAAGGCCTGTGAAGGAATGATAAGTATCTATCCCTCCATACAGTATCCACTGGAGGTGCTTTGCTTATGTTTAATTGAGTCAGGTAATTTCTTATTTATTATATTGTATATCTTATTTATTATATTGAGGTGTTATGTTGCTCTTAAGCAAGCACTGTTTTAGTGTTTACTATTGTAAAATATTTAGTGTTTACTATGTGTAAAATATTACTAGGTATATAATACTATGTGTAACGTATTATGTTCCTGAACATAAAGAAATAAAATTATGTAGTGTTGCTGTACACAAAAAGCCAGCAATATAGGGAAGCAGAGTGATTCAGTAGAATTGTGAGTTACAAAGTTGTTTGTCCACCAATGAAGTCTTTTTGGTGGTGGGAATTAAAGGATGTTTTGAATTTTCTATCAACATTAAATAAGGGAGAAGCTTGACAAGTACTTAATGTGGCAGTGCAGGCCCGTGGAACTAGATGCTTTTTTTTTTAAACAATAAAATGCGTTTGGTTGCTATAGTAGAAGGAATAATTGAAGTATATTTGGCTGAATAGGTTGTATTACAAGGCTGAGCATTAGGAAAAGGATTTGGAGGATATCCTTTATATTGTTGATGTTGTGCCATAGTCACAGATTTGTTTGTTTGTTTGTTTTGTTTTGTTTTTTTGTTTTTCTGAGACAGGATCTCCCTGTGGCTCCAGCTGGCCTGGAACTCACTATTTAGACCAGGCTGGCCTTGAACTTGCAGAGATCCGCCTTCCTCTGCCTCCCGAGTGCTGGGATTAAAGGCATGTGCCACCACACCAGGTTCACAGATATGTTTTAAAAATTCTGTATTATCATAAAGTATTACAGCTGGTGAGTAAACTAGAGTGGATTCAAGTTGGACAGTGCGTCTTAGAGTATACTTCATGCTCTCACATCTTCATGTCTTTTCTTTGGGAGAAGAGAGATGCTTGTAACCTCTAGACAGTTAGGAGCTGGTGTACCTGAATCTGTGGATGTCTACATCTACCCAGATTCAGGCAGGTTGGCCATCTTGTTTCTTCACATCAACCTCTGTCCTTGTCAGTGTTTGTGCTGAATAGATTGCTTTATAATAATTTGGGTATCACTCCTGCTCTTTTATTCTTCTGAGGTAAACAAGTTCACAGCAGTCAGTCACTGAAGTTGAAGTAACAGTACCTAATCAATGTGGTACTACTAAATTATTGAAAAGACGTTCCCAATTTGTTTAATTTATTGATGTGGTTGCTAAATGAGTATATGCATGGAATGTTTTGTCTGTATGACTCATGTGTGTCATAGTAGAGAAATGGTTGAAGACTAAGTCTGGAGATAGCAGAGGGAGAATTGCTGGTAGGCAATGACCTTACACTTGCCATGGTCCCACCCACTCTAACTCTCCTTTATCAGTGCTATGTGTACTGTCTCCTGGTGTCTGTATGAAAACAAGGGCCCCTACTTTCAGTCTTAGAGTTTTCACTACCAAGTAAACATATCTTCTTATTTTCAATCAAAGAGAATGCTTTTTAAAATATTGTATTTATTTTTATTTTATGCATATAAGCCTTTTGCCTGCATGTATGTAATGCACCCGTGTCATGCATTGCTTACAGAAGTCAGAAGAGGGTGTCAGACCCCCTGGAACTGGAGTTACAGATAATTAGTTGCTAGCCTCAATGTGGATGCTGGAAATTGAACCTGGGTCTTTTGCAAGAGTGGGCAGTGCTCTTAACCGCTGAGTCATCTCTTCAGCTCATTAATAATGTTTAGGATCGAGTACACTAGACTAGAGTGAGTAGACTAAGTGATAGTAAGAATGAATAAATGAACATGGACTGTAAGAGTGTTGATAAAAGGACTGATGAAGGAAAAAAGCATACATGGCTTCTTAAAGGGAAGGGAAGGGGGAAAATAGTTTTTATTTTTTGTTTTATTTTTGGTCTTTTTGAGACAGAGTCTCCCTGTAGCCCCAGCTGGCCTGGAACTCACTATGTAGAACAGGCTGGCCTTGAACTCACAGAGATCTGCCTGCCTCTGCCTCCCAAGTGCTGGAATTAAAGGTGTGCGCCACCATGCCTGGCAAAAAAAATCATTTTTAAATTTCAGATTTCCTGAAAGGTTAGCCCAGTGTGAAACAGTGGTTTATGGGGAAGGTAAGTTGTTGAGAGGAGTAGTCAGACCTATCAGTTGTTTGTAAGTGAGAGATCCTCAAAGTAAAGCTAGACAAGCAGCTGGGAAGTCACTTATGTGAAAGTGAAGTGGAGGGCTGGCGCTGAGAGGATTGAGGGCACAAGGCTGACAATGCTTTTTTGAGCTGACTTGAACGAGAATGGGAAAGGAAGAAGAAAGAAGAGGAGGAGAACAGAGGAGGGGACAGCTGAGAGAGCAAGGTGGGGAACCCTGACAAAAAAAGACTGTTTAAGAAAGGAGACCATCATGTTCTGGCATGGTAGACTGTACAACTGATTTTATGGCTAAGAGGACTAATTATTAAGGCTATCTTTTAAACCAACGTCATTGAATTGAGCTTAGATTATAATAATGGAGAAAGGCTAGGAAGAAGCGGTTAAGAAGAAAGGTAACCCAGGATATTCACCGACTGCATTTGTCAGAGAGGCAGAGGAAGTGAGTTAGAGAGTTGGGTGGCAAACTTCCAGGGGGGCGGAGAGCTTTCAGAGGGCAGGAGAATTACAGTGATGTCTGTCTCCTGTCTGAACTGTTTCAAAAAGAAAGAGTGACTGAGCAAGATACATGCTATGTTAAGGTCTTTGCAGCGGTACATAAGGGGACTGTCAGCACAAGGAGACGTATGTATGTGGGGTGTTCTCCTCTGATAGGAAGCTCAATTTCAAAATTATGAAATTTCTTCAGATTTTAGCACAGGCCTCAGTGTGTGATATATTATGGAGTCTCTAGTACCCATCCCTTGACTTTTGCTGCTGTTAGTGTTGCCACTGCGGAACTAACAGCTGGTGGTTACTCTTCTGTCCAGTTCTGTTCATCTATTAGTGGTTTGTACCATTCCCTCCTTGGCCTGCTCGTAATCAAATGGCACAGATGGTTGGACATTTATTTTTGAAGACTGAGTGCTTTTTTACTAAGTATGAATTTGTCAATAATGTGGTTTTCTTATGTAAGGATGGCTCTAGTATTTCAGAAATCCTGTAAAATATTAGGAAGAAATGGAATCAACTAAGAGTCTGCAGAGTTTTATACATAAATTTAGCAGTCTCTCTGATGAAGAGACCAAACATGACACCCATCAAATCCCACAGCTACCTGGAATGCCTTGAGACTTGTAATAAAAAGGATTTAAGATTTTTACTTAGACTGTACTCTAGAATAAATTCGAGAAAACAGAAGCAAAAATGAGATGCTGCAAAACACTGAACATTAGTAACAACAGCAAGAAAAACCCAGCCCAACAAAACAAGATCATCTTGTGGGCATTAAAAAAAATAGATAAATGTTGGGCTGGGGCGCAGCAGATTGGTAAGTGATTGAGTACTTGGCTAGCATGCATGAGGCTATGGGGCTGATCCCAGAGTGTGTGTGTATGTGTATGTGTATGTGTACGTGTACGTGTATGTGTATGTGTATATGTATGTGTATGTGTGTATATATAGGTATGCGTGAGGGGGTTAGCAAAGAGACAGTGAAGGGATTATGTTGATTGGTTAGACAGTACACTGCTTTAAAAATTGAATGTGGTGGCGCATATCTGTAATCCCAGCACCTGGGAAGTGAAGGCAGAAGGATCAAGAGCTCAAGGCCCACCTTGGCTACATATATAGCAGTTTGAGGTCAGCATGGGCTTAAAAAATAAGCCAGGCGTGGTGGGTTAGCAAAGAGACAGTGAAGGGATTATGTTGATTGGTTAGACAGTACACTGCTTTAAAAATTGAATGTGGTGGCGCATATCTGTAATCCCAGCACCTGGGAAGTGAAGGCAGAAGGATCAAGAGCTCAAGGCCCACCTTGGCTACATATATAGCAGTTTGAGGTCAGCATGGGCTTAAAAAATAAGCCAGGCGTGGTGGTGCACGCCTTTAATCCCAGGACTCAGGAGGCAGAGACAGGTGGATCTCTGTGAGTTCAAGGCCCCTGGTCTACTTTTGATATATCACAGTGAAAGATTTATCGTCCTCTTTTTTTTTTTTTTTTTTTTTTAAAAAAAAAAAAAAAAAAAAAAAAAAAAAAAAAAAAAAAGTGAAAAAAGGATATTGAGTATATTGGTTTAAGTGGAAATGAATATTCTTGAAGAAGGTTTGGGGTACTTTGCAGAATTAAAAGAAAGGGAGAGCTGGACTGGGTAGGTATATTTTTATATATGGCAAAACAAGGGAAGAATTCTTACCTAGTGAATTACTGGATCTAATAATTTGTGGAACTGAGCACTTCAGTTTTCAATATATTCTAAGGAAAAACATTATTCTGGGAATGAAACTGACAACACAGGCAGTGAGAAGCTGCACTTGACTTCTCTTTTCATTTTCTTCTAAAGCTAACTTCATATATTCTGAAAACTATGAACTTCAAAAATCTTGAAGGTCTCTAAAAGCCAGCCCACCCTTCCTCCCCCAACATACTTTGGCATCTGCACAGTTTGCCAGTTCACAGCAGTTAATCACTGGGTTCTCTTCCACTGAGGACAAATGTATTTCATTTTCTTGCTATTGGTTGCATGTTGAGACTTGAAGATTCATTTTCAAAATGACTCACTTATCAAGCAAGCAAGTCTTGAGTAGCTTTCTAGTTGTCATTTATTTAAAGGTTTTTTTCATGCTAAATGGACTTTTTGATTTATTTTGCCTCATTGCTGAAATGGGAGAGGACAAGGAAACTTGGCTCTTCAAATTCAAGCAGAAAACAGCTTTCTGAAAGTTTTAAGTGGAGGGTCCAGGGTCCTAGCACAGGGGTAGAGCACTTGCTTAGGATACATGAGTGAGGTCCAGGGTTCCATCTCCACCACTTCTTCCAAAACAAAAGGTTTGGTGTCCTAGAAATATTTGAAAATGCAGGTGAAAATAAAGAAATGACTGCTACCAAATTCTACATTTTTTTTACTTGCTTCCCAAGCAAGGTTTACTTTAAAATTTTATACAGTTGATCAGTTTCTTTCATAAGTCAAAAATGAATTATTACCTTTTTAAATTTACTTTTTTTGTGGTATAATGTAGGAAACTGAATTCCATAGAATTACTCTGCATCCAGCAAATTTATCTTTGGAGTTTCAGTATTTATCAGCCATAAGTCTAGACTGCCTTTTTGAGAAATAAATACAATATTGTTAAACTGTTATAAAGATATCAAATCTGAAACTTTAGAATCTTTTAAATATTAGAAAAAAATGGATAAATGAATGATTTTTAAATAAATTATTTCCTATTAAAAATCAGATTTGTTTCTGTTTTATTCTCCACTAAGATATTTATTTAACAAGTTACCTTCACATGAATTAGTATGAAGGAGAGAAAGATTGAATGTTGAAGCCGAAATATTTCTTGCCTCTTCACACAGGACTGCTAGTGCTATAACTGTTGCTAGTTTTAGGGAATGCTGTAGAATTTCTTAGTGCCACTTGGTCATATGTGGAGAAAGTGTTACCTAGAGGTAGTGTGTGTGTGTGTGTGTGTGTGTGTGTGTGTGTGTGTGTGACAGAGTCTCATGTATCTTAGGCTGGCCTTGAACTCCTGAGCCCCAGCCTCTGCCTCTAAAGGGCTGGGATTACAGGCATGTGCCATCTGTCTTTTGTTTTTGTTACTGTGCTTCCAAGTGTTCACAAAGGGAATATATTAGGAAATCTTACTTTGTTTTAAAACTTGCTCATGTTCATCTCTGCCTTGTGGAGGTTACACACCCATGCTGTGAAGTTTGAGATTCTCTAAATATGATGATCATTGGAGAGATGCATGACTTTTTTGACTTTTTTTCTTGTCCTTTTTGTCATCCTAGTTTTTTTTTTCTTTTTTAATAATAAAAGCAGGTTGTTTAACAAAAGGTAATCTGTCATGTCTTGATGGAGTAAGAGTTTTGACTCAGATGGATAGAAATCAAAGGTAAACTTTAATAGCCATTTAATAGCCATTTTCTTTTTTTATTCTCTCCTTTTTCTTTTTTTAAAGTTTATTTTTAATCTTTTTTATGTTATTAACTTTTTTTTAACGTTTTTCTAGAAATAATCTGAAGCAGATTACATAATATATAGATATGTGTATATATACATATACACATACAATGACATTTAATGGGGAGAGGATAGGACTAAGAAATCAAAGACCAAAGGATTTGCCAGCATGGGGTCAACTTTAGTGGAATAATGGTTTCCATAACTGTTTTCTTTTTTTTTTTTTAATCCTAACGAGTTTATTGGGCTTGCTAACAGAGCATAGAGTGCCCCCCCTCCCCATTTATGGCTGTGCTGGATCATTCACACTCAAATATAGATCCTGTAACTTCCCAACAGCTGCACAAGAGAGAGGCACCTCATGGTGCTCTCAGCTTATATATCCTTAGCCCCTTCCCCACTGCAGCTAAAGTAACTGACTCCCCCATTGACTCCTTGGGAGCGTGGGAAGGAGATGTGATTATGGCTTGCCAGCATAGTGGTCAGAGGACACATCCAGTTAACACTCTGGCTCTTACATTCTGTCTGCCAACCTCTTCTACAAAAGTCCCTGAGCCTTGGAGGGGGTGATAGGTGTGGGATGATCTTCCTCCCAAGTGGCAAGGTACTGAACTTTCAGGTCTCTGCATCATCTGTTTTTCATGGGCTGTTGGCTCATTTAAATGAGATTCCATCTACTATAAAAACACAAACAGCATGAAGCAAGAACATTTAAACTGTGGTTGCTATAATAACCTATGGGCATAAACAGATGCTTGGATGATACTTTATCAGGTGCATCGCATCCATGCAACAAAACAATTGCAGTAACTTCCCCACTGGAGCCTATATTCTCCCCTGCCACATGGGATTGGCCTGGTCTACAGTACCAGATGAGTGTTCCTCTGCTAGGAGAGGGCATTATATCCAATCAAAAATTTTCTGGTTGTACATACACTAGATGCACCACTACTGCACCAGCTGGAACATCTTGCTTGGCACGTTGATAGTGCAGCACATGGGGTCCATCGTTGAGCAAAATTATAGGAGACAGTTCTCCCCCAGCCATCTGCATGTCACCCTCTGGTACTATGAAAGCCACAAAGATTTTTAATTTTCTATAGTAATTCTCACCCATTACCTATTAAGAGTGAAAGCCTTTTTGCACGTTAGTTCATAATAATATTGTCAAAGGCTCATCATAATATTTAATGAATGCCTACCATTTATGACATTATATGTTAATCTCTACTTTCCAGAAGTTACCATTTAGTCAGGAGGTAGCAGAGACAGGGTATTTTGGACTAACACTAGATACAGGTGGTATTAGCAAATAGCTGGAGGTTTGTGTTTCTACAAGTCTAGACTAGTCACATCAGCATTACCTGAGAACTTGTTAGAAATGTGAACTTTCAAGTCTTGCTTCAGACCTACTGAAACTGGGAATAGGTCCCAGCATACTCTGGTTTCAAACAAGTCCTTCAGGTGATTCTGATGCCTAGGGTAAATGTGTTATCACCGGATAGAAATGGAAAGAGCTACTGCTTGCTTGGGAGGATATAGAGGGTATGGAACTAGCACTATCTGTTTCTGAAATTCACATTTGTAGAACAGTAGTGAGAAGGTATGGGTTAGAAGGAAATCCGTGTCTGGAAACATAGTAACCAGTTAAAACTATGTTCTTATAATTTAATTTCACATTTTGCCAATTTTAATTCTTTAGGCATTATGAATTCACTAATTTTTTGATTAATTTGAAGTTCTCATCATTAGGTAACATTGCTTATGGATTATTCATTGGTATGTATTTCGTGCACTCCTTAAATCCCAGCATTTGGGAGCAGAGGCAGGAGAATCTCTGTGAGTTTAAGGCCATCCTCGTCTACATAGTGAGTTTCAGGCCAGCTGGGGCTATAGGGAGACCCTGTCTCAAAAAGAAGAAGGAAAGAAAAAAAGAAGAAAATGAAATATAATGAAATTAGGCAACTAACTTACTTTTGCTTTCTGTGACTGAATCAGTGATTCAATTTATGGCTTGGGAT